CTTGGGGGCGTGTCTGTTTTGGGTCGGCCCCGATCGGTTTCGGGGTTTTCATTAGCGCATCTTCATGTGAGCGGAGGCTCAGGTTTTTGTTGGCAACTTGAGTAGGATGCGCTGCTCTAACTCGCCATGTTGGGCAAGCGTTTTGGCAACCGATCGGGATCCGGGAGTCTTGTTGAATCCTAGTATGGAGTGAAAAGGCCATTCTGTTTGAGCTGTGATGGCATTAACCGTTTTCATGTACCACTCTAAGCATTTTGGACCCTCACAAAGGCCCTTGAAATGAGGTCCAAACGTTCCAATGGAGGTCCTAGCGTCCTTTCTGATGCCTTGGGCAGGGCTCAATTCATTTCCGGTCCAATCATTCGCTTGAGCCACGGCCAACTCGCACGTGCCTTCCGGCCGCAGGACGTTAGTGTTACGCTGCCAGGAAAAGGAGTTGCCGCCATTGCGTTTCGGATTGTTTGGCGCACGGCGGACTTTCCACTTTGATGCACCAGCGCAGGTCCGCTGTGCATGAGCAGTCAAGGCGTTTTGGTAGGTGGCGGGCATTGGCTACAGGTTTTTGGGAACAATTGCAGATGTGGGAGGACTACACAACCAGGCAGATGATTTCCGATGGCTTGCGCTTGTTTGTGGTCCGAACGCAGGCAAGGCTCAAGTCTCAAACTGGGTTCTGATTAGATCGTATCCGCCATGGCCAAGTCCAAGCCACTTGGAGTCGTTTGGCCGAGCTGACTTCACGCATTTGCCATGAATCAAGCCATAATCGGAGGGTCCAGGCGGGGCTCGTGTTCCCCGCTGACTTGGTTGTTTTTCGTTGTGGTAGTTTGTTTGTTTTACGCAAAACAAAAACGAGGGTTTGCCATACCGGCGGCCAATCCCTCTGTTTGGAGAGTGGCTTCAGCTTTCGAGCTGCGCCGGTCGATCGAGAATTTTCGGAGTTCTGTTTGGATTGCTGGTTTGGATTTGATTTGGACCCCTTCTTGTATAATGGGAAACCAGCCTGGAAGACCAAGCCACCAATCCAAGCCACAAATTGGAAGGAATGAATGTGGCCATCCAAAGATTTTGTTCACCCTGTCCTATTTCGGGTGAAGGAACTGGGTGACTTGTGGACCAGGGCGTCGTTAAACTGTGAATCGCGTGGTCCATGACGTATGCTCATGCGCAATGTTCCCTGGGGTGAGCAGCTCCGCTTGCAACGCAAGAACCAAGTGTTATATATATAAATATATATAATATATAATAACATTCACTAGGTCCCCCAGTAGCGCCCTTTCTCACCAACTTTTCTCTTTTTTTTGGGGGGGGGTTCCCTTACTAAAATAAACTGCAGAAAAAAGGTTACCCTTATTCTAACCTCTTTACTGGAGGAGCTGGTTCACAGCAGGCCCACGCTGACATGACGGCATGTTTCCTGAAGTCCCGGTGTTGAAATGACCGAGGCCGTTGCCATTACGTAAACATGACACTTGATTGTTGTTTGATGTGTGTTCCGTGGTGCCATTCCGTCAGTACATGCTAAGCAATGTTCCAGCACATCCTTTGTTCATATCAGTCCCGTAATCATGCCGAGTCACAAGTATTTGCATGTATTTGCCCAAGAAATTGAAATAGCCAGCTGCTATCGACGCAACCAGTCCGCTTGATTTCATGCATGTGCAAACAAGTCATTGTTCGATTCGATGTTGCTGTAATGTGAATCTTCCTGCCCTGGATGTCAACTCCCCTGTGCTGTGAAGCTGGGCGGCTTGGCCGTTTCTTCATTGGCCGCAGCACAGCTGCTGTTTGTCTTGCTGCGATAGGCAGGGACTGAGTTGGAATGGCCCCTGAAAGCCATCCCCTGTGGCTTCCTTTGGAGGTTCATTCCCATGGAATAAGGCAGGTTCATTCCATCATTGCCTACTTATCGCACCAGCAAGTTGTCACAAGTCGGCTCGGATTCAATGCTTGCCGCAACGCTTGCTAAGGAACCATACCGGCCACAACCAGATCTACAAGGACACACCTTCCGTACTGTCGGCTTGCGACTGGGAATGGCCGAAGTCCAATTTGCACCACTTTGATCCAGGGTTGAGACCATTTGTTTGTTGGTTTGTACACGGGAATCGAATCAGTGTTCGCAGAGACCAAGGCCCCCGCTTCTTCGATTGGCCAACAGAGCTTCCTTTCCATGCTTTCCAGGCCACTGACCTCGATCCCATGGGACTCAAATCCATAGCCACATTCAATTCCTGGGCAGGAGGTTTAGGGAAGTCCCTACAGAGGCTCCTGGACCTTTCAATGGAAGACCCAACCCCTCCATTAGACACCCCGGAGGTGGTTGGGCCAGGATGTTTGAAGGCCATAAATCAATTGGGAGCCTCTGGGTACCACAAGAATAGGCCCAGTTGCCAGTTTGATTAGTTGCATGTTTTCGATTCGACTCCTGTCATACCACCTTTTGGTTGTGGCCCATTAGAATCGGGCGCCCTCGTACAGGAATTAGGAATGTCCATTCTTAGAGGTTGTGGCATGGACATATGCATGACTATGGCAGCCCTCTTGAAGCGGTGGAAACCGCTGAACCGACATGGTACGTTTTTTTGGGCGAAGCGTTCAGGAGTTTTTTGGAGCCTTGCTTTGCATGAGCCGGGCGTCCCTTTTCTTATTGCTGGTACCCAAAGCCACTGAATAGATTGGAAAAAATATATCGGTGCAGCACCAACACCTACAAATCCTGTTTCCAAGCCTCTTGTTGCTCCATGGCCCCCATGCTCGGCCCCTGTGTATGTGCGAGCGAGCCGCCTGTCTGCAGAACCACCGCAATGGCATCAAGAAGTCCCGCCGGCCCCGCAAGATGTCGATGCAGGGCATGCAGCTCGGCTGTCAGGTGAGCCACGTGCTCAAAATCGATTCGGGTAGATGGTTAGGGTAGTAAGGGAGAATCCCCTTGCCAGAAATGGCCATGGGTCACAAGCTATGGTACCATTTTGGGGCGGATGAAATTCATGTAGCACCTATTTTGATGTTCACCAGCGGTACAGGGTTTTGACCCACAGCCAAATAGCTGCGGATATCCGACTTCTTAATTCTTGAAGCATGGTTCTGGGATTACGACCATCTTAATACCAGGTTTTGACTATGACTCAGGTGTCTTTGTAGGCGGCATGGGGAAGCTGGCGACGGGTGCCAGTTGTTCAGTGGCGGGCCGTGTTGGGCTCGCGTTTGTCGATTGCTTTCCTTAATAAATGGTTGTCCTTTTCCTTATTCCAGTTGCCAAGTGGTGCCCTTTTTTCCTTTTTGGCAAGGGTTCCCCTGAAAAGTCAACCAACTGTCCTTTTTTCCCATGGCCACTGGGCATCTGAGTTATAGCTGGGCAAGAAAGGGTAGCACTTGGCAACCCTGTTGTCAGTGCTATCATACCTCCCTCCACCCAACTTTTGCATGCATGGCGACTCTTTAAGTCCTGCAAACTCTTGAGCCGTTCAGGCTACACCCATCTGTGGGGCCTGCATTTGGGGCCTTCGCTTGGGGCCTTCACCGAGGAATTGCCGCTTCGTGCGCAACCAGGCGGGAGTGGCAGTTAAGGGATTCGGAGGTTATATGAAGTAAAACAGCAGAGATCAGAAGGATGGGACCCACTTTTGATGGGCTTTTCCCAGAGAATGCAAATTCAAGCACTTCCTGTCAGGTCCAAATGTTAAGTAGCCCTTTTGCGGGTCCAATTCCATAGGCCGCGTTTTGCGGGCCCCGTTTTGCGGACGCAGGTTGCTCCAGGCCTTCACAACTCCCAATGACCGGAACTCGCCCGATTCGAATCCGCCCATTCGCACGATCAGCGAATGTGGACCTCTGAAAGCGAATGTATAACCTCACCTCACTTGAGGTCGAGCAAGCTTATTCATGCGGTGCTTTCCCTTGGGGATTTGTGTGCATTGGCTTTATTTGGTCTGCTTTCGAAAGTGGAAGCGCTCCTGGCAAGATAATCTACAACAGCACTTGGCTAAGTTACCAGAGAGCCATGAAACGTGCTTGTCCCGCTTCGATTACATCCTGCCAGCACACTTTCAATGAAGTTGTCCTGGAGTACAATCAACGGCGGCTGTCCTTCTGGTTGACACCTGGTGCGTGGCGAGGTCTCCCCCCCACAGACGGGACTGAGCTTTCACGGACCAGAGATCGAATGGCAAGCGCTGCCCAACGGCCATGTGTCCATGAGGATATCTTGCGATTATTCAAGGGAAACCAAGGGAAAGCGCCTGCTTCAGGTGCTCCATTGGAGATAGACCAAACCCTATGTTGCGTCAAGCTCAAACAGGGAACGTGGGAAGGGCCTAGATGCAGCCCTGGCAACCCGCCGCACGACCCGCAGCTTTTCAGGCAGGACAGCTTGTAGCATGGGTTCCATAGAGTTGAACCGCCGGCTGGAAAGCATGCAGCGGAGGTTCACCCCGAAACAAGCGCTTTGGGCTGGTATTGGCCACTTCGGTTTGTCGCCGCCGGTCACTCATGCCCAAACCTTGGAGGTGCAGCAAGTGAAGATGTAATGAACTGACCAACAAGTATCGTTGAACATGCCCTTTGCACAGAAGCTCTTTAACTTGTTGCTGGCCAGCGTTGCCAGCGTTTTGGCGCCCGGCCATGGCTTCCTTGCAATTACGACGCCCCAATGGCCATGGCTCCTGCCCGGGTGGTTCTGGCTATGCGTATTTTAGAGCAAGCCCACCTGCAGATAAAACGAGCTCGTCAATGATAAGGCTCCTTTACTTGGGGATCCCTTAAATCAGTTTTTGGACGTATATTAAAGCTTGCAGACTAATGGCTTAAGCATACGTCTTTCAAGGGGTATATCATAATCACCTTTTAACTTGGTGGCTCCCAGCCATCCGGTTCCTTAGCTTTTTAGCTTTTTAGTGTTCAGTGGTTGGGTTTCCGTATTTAACCCACTCAAAGTTAGTCACTCTCTGCGGATCTGAAAACGGACAGCACTGTTAAATCTGTGCACACCCAACTGGTTCCCAGTTCCCAGCACCATGTGGCAGCGGCTTCTCGCGGCCCTGCCAGCAGCCTACGCGCAGTGCTATGGCGAGGAATGCACCTGGCAGGACGAGGACGATGGGGCGGGCGCCATGGGAGGCTGGAGACAAGAGCCTGTCAAGCTCGCATTTCAGAGTGGGTCCTTCACTTTTTAGGGAAGCATCTCGATCCCCGCTCTATAAGCTTAACTTCGCGCCAGTTGGCCTGCCAGTAGGTGGATGGCTTACCCACAGTAATTATTCAATTCGGGTTGTATCCACCCTATATGGACAAGAATCGCCTGGCGCCAGTTGGTGGATGGTGTCAATCCCCCAGTAATTAATGATTTGAATCCGGAATTATCCATCCCAACTAGGATTTTGTTCATCCACCGTAGGTTTCCATTTGGTAGATGGCATCGGGTTTGATCCATCTGGCTGGTGGTTGGTGCGGATGTTCGTCCATCGCGAGGAGTGGAGAACCGTGGACCCCTGGGCGCAGACCATCGAGGCGACGGAATTTCTCTTTCGGAAGCGGGGCCATGGGACCCCACACCCCAGCTCGGTGGGTTTTTTGGGGGTACCGTTCCGGGATTTACTAAGTATGGTTGTATTATACATGTTGTATGTACATTGTATTCGATATATTATATATCTGCATACAATCATATGGATATGTCCTGTAGGTCTTAAACATTTACAATTGAGAAGCAATGTTTGTGGTGTTGAGTCTCTGCAATATATATTGCAGCAGAACATAAAAAAGTTGGGCCCTTGGATGACGCTGCACGTCGCGCCCATGTGCTCAGCTCTGTTCTTTTTTTGTGGCAGCTACTCACTCATCTTGCCACTTAAACGAGTTTCTTAAACAGGACCCATCGCCACTCAAAGGCAACATGGCTTCAAAAGGATTTCTAACTCCTGCATTGCAGGTGCTAACGAAGTGCTTTGCTTGGCCCCAGTCGTCGCTTGAGTGCTCACTTGTAACGGCCCATGTTTCCCAGAGACCGGCCTGGCCAGGAGCAGGTCATTCAGCTGTACGCGGAAGGGGAGAAGGGCGGATTCGCAGAGGACCTTTCGCAGCCGTCCCCCAATAGTGCCCTTTGACCAACTTTTTTGAGGGAGGGTTCCCCTACTACAATAGATTACAGAAAGAAGGGTACTCTTATTCTAACCTCGCTACTGGAGGACCTAGACACTGTCCCTTTAAGGAGTTCCCTTTGAACACAAGGTATACCCACAAGCTACACAGCCTTACTTGTGACCAAATCGGCTCGTTCGGAAACTGCTTCGTGCTTCCATGTTGGTGCGAGGTGTCGTGGCAAGTTTTGCCGGGATTTGAAATGCATGCTTCAATACAAATTTCGGTGCAGGTTATCCTTAGTCTGTTGCTCTGCCTAGTTGGGTGTACGAGCACTTGCACAGGCCGCATGTCTTTCTGGGACAAGCATCAAGCTCAAGAGTCTTTCCTGCTGGGAGATCCGTCCGGAGCACAGTTTTCAGGAGAAGTAATTGCGAACCAGCCGAGTTGCAGCAGCCAATTTTCGTCCAACAATTCTAGGTCTCCCAGTAGTGCCCTTTGACCAACTTTTTTTTAGGAGGGTTCCCCTCCTAAAATAGACAAAACCGAAGAAAGGGTACCCTTATTCTATCCGATTCTATCCTCTCTACTGGAGGACCTAGAATTATTCGAACCATCTCGTTGGGCTCGCCAACTGGGCTGTGGCACAGAATGCGGCGGTCACCATTCTGTGCCAGCACCCCTCAATTAGTCTCAAATGGCCCCAAATAGCGCAAAGGAGGTCATTTACACCATTTGACAGGTATCGGGGACCTGGTCCGGCAAATGTGTGTGTCACGTTTGAGCGTATACGAGGAAAACAAAAAATCCATTTTGCGGGGTCCCCTAAAAACAGCTCCCAAATGTCCGTTGCCATGTTTTTGTCGGCCTGCAACGCGGGCCATTCGCTTCGATCCACCAAAGAGATCTGCCTGCAAGAAGCTCACATTTGGTCCCCTAAAATGTACATCTTAGGGGAACCCCATAAAAAGCATGGTTTCAAGGGCCTCTTCTCGCTGAATGGCCTTGGCAGGACGCGGATCTTCAGCCGCGGCGGCTGCGCGTGTGCTCCAACTCCGGGTCTGACTGCGTGAAGGCGAGCAAGCTGCCGAGCCTAGGCAGCAGCTGCGTTGTGCGCGCATTTGGCCAAGGGATGTTAGCATGAGTGTCCTTCTTGGTTGTTTTGGTAGAAACATAGAGGGCGATTCCTGGTTTAGCTGGTGGTTTTTTTCTCATCTACCAGGGAAACCCATGTATTTTGCCTAAAAGGACACCTATGCAAATGAGGACTTGAACTTTTTGCCAACTAAAACCACTAGAAGTTAAACTATAAAACCACTAAAACCACTATGGGTTTTCCATTAAACCACTAAAGCTTAAACTTTTAGCAGAGCAGATTTCGCAACCGAGCTCATTGAGCAAGTTGTCTTGCGAAATCGGTAGGGAAGTTTCGGGGTCTTGAAGGGAACCAGATGATTTTGGCCTAGAGCTGGCATGAAGCACGATACTGGCTCCCAGCCATCCGGTTCCTTAGATTAGGCTTTTCGTGTTGGTAGTTTGTGTATTTCAACTATCGCCTTAGCTGTTTAGCCTTTTAGCGTATAGTGCCTGGGTTTCCGTATTTAACCCACTAAAAAGTCGGTCACTTTTAGCGGGAGATCTGAAAACGGGCAGCACGAGACTCAGACTTAGCCAGGTCCCATGGTAGTGCCCTTTGACCAACTTTTTTGGGGAGGGTAAATAGACGACAGCAACAAGAAACGGTACCAACTTATTCTAACCTCTCAAGTCTGGCGAACCTACTGTCCCTTTGGGAGTTCCCAATGAACACAAGGTATACCCACAAGCTACAGAGCGTTGCTTGTGACCTCGGGTCGTTCGGAAACGGCTCAGGAAGCTCCTGAAGAAGACCACCCAGCCCTTGATCCTGCAGGGGTTGTGGGGTGAGGGCTGGCCGCAGGATCCCTCCTGGAGCAAGGCCCGCATTTGAGGGGGGGGGTTGAGCCACGAAGCAAGCTCGGCCAGACACCAGAGCTAGGTACACCTGGATCGCCAGTTGCGATCGCTTTCAATCCACTTTACGGGCCCCAAAAACCAGGAACAGTGACTAAAAAGGCGATCGCAACTTGGCTATCTAGGCAGCTGAACTTTTTCCCGGGTTTCAGTAAACTTCTGAAATGCAAGGCTTTGATGTGTGCCACGTGGAGCTGTTTTTGCGCAAGTCGGGGCGGGGCTCCTTGTGGGACTTATTCTTTGCAGTCTTTGAGGAGGTTGCCCCGAAACTCTTGACAGGTTCGGAGGTAACTATGGCAGGCATATATCAGGTAACCAGAGGGTAAATCGGAAACCACTCCCCAACCAGCGAAACACCAATCCACACCACTAAGTGGAGGGAAGCTGAATATAATATATGTACGGAACAAGGATGTGTTGAGGAATTGCAGGGTCTGTGGATGGGCAACTGGAGAACGGCCATGTTATGGTCAGTCTCCTGGCCTTGTCCAGGTGGGTTGACAACGTCACCTTGTACAACAACAGCACGAAAAAAGGAGGGCTCTGGCAACTGACCAAATTTTCACATCCAAAACCTGGTTTTCAGACTGCGTTTCAGACTTCGGGTTTCACTTACGGCTTAGCTACATGCTTATTGTTTTTCCCTACGGGTTCCGAAAATCATTTCAATGCATTATTTCAACACATATTTCAAGTTAAAAAAGGAGAGTGGTATGACTCCAGCTGTTTTTTGTCGGGGACACGGCGGTGTTTTCTCGGCCCCGGGGATCCCTCGATCGCGCGGTAGGCGCGCGTCCTGGAGCGTCTCGGGCAGCTGGGGCTCACAGCGCGAGCCTCAGCTCGAGGGGCCAGGGGCCAGGGGCAAGGGGCGCTCTCGCTGGGGCGGCTGAAGCGCTGTTTTTTTTTTTTGGGGGGGATACGAGTGATTTCCGTTTTTGGTGCTATGTCTTGTTTGGGGAAACTTTTTTTGGGGGATACGAATGAACTTCGTTGTTTGGCAATTTGTTGTTTTTTGGGGGATACGTTTTTTTGGGGGAGGGGGCTTGTTCACCATTTGAGAGCTGGCCAGTCCACGAATGCATGAGGATTGGTTCGTGACTCTTTGACATGGCCAGTGAGCGAATGAGGGAGACAATAGGGCTAAGCTAGCTTGTGAAAATATTAGGAGACTACTTTATACAGCAGCCAGCGGGCTGATAAAGCGAGCTCATTCGATGTTGAAAGGGTCTGCGTGTGTGATGCTGAGCTGGGCGCCGGCTTGGCGCCCTTGTTGATGAATCGGTGTTTTTGTACTATCCCTGGCCGGAGCTTGACCCCGGGTTGGTTGGTTGGTTGGTTGGTTGGTTGGTTGGTTGGTTGGTTGGTTGGTTGGTTGGTTGGTTGGTTGGGTGGGTGGGTGGGTGGGTGGGTGGGTGGGTGGGTGGGTGGGTGGGTGGGTGGGTGGGTGGGTGGAGGGTGGGTGGGTGGGTGGGTGGGTGGGTGGGTTGATGGGTTGGTGGGTTGCTGGGTTGGTTGGTTGGTGGGTTGGGTTGGTTTGGTGTGGTTTGGTTTGGTTTGGTTGGTTGGTTGGTTGGTTGGTTGGGCGTCCGCATCCGCAAGCATCCCCGGTTGCTTGGTGTTGGGGCTGCCCGAGTGTTGGGCTTCTTGTGAGGGCAGGTTCTGGGTTTGTTTGGTTCATTCAGGCTGGGCAAAGGGATGTCCAAGCTGTTGTTGGGCGGTTTAGGGTTGCTTTGGGTCCGCTTCGGTTGGCTTGGAGCTGATTTGCACTAGGTGTGCGGGCAGTTGCTTTGGGGTGTGATGAGTTTTGGGCTGGGATTGGTTGTGCGCAACGCCAAATGAAAGCCAATAGGTCCAAGCGAGGATGCGGAAATCTTAGTGTAAGCAAAAGCGGCCACTGGCCAAACGGTCCCATTGTCTTCATCCATTTGCTTAAGTTTTTTTTGTTTATTTCCCCTTAGTTTGAAAAGGAATTCAGAAACTACTGGGAAAATATGTTTTTTTTTTCCTTGGGGCCTTAACCAATTCATCACTACTGGGAAAACTTCAGAACTTTTTCCTTGGGGCCACCAAATGGAAGTCGCCCGTGACATATTGGCTTTTTGGGAGCCTGTCACATTGGGATTGACCGAATCTTGAGGTCCAACACCTCCAGTGGAGATTTTGAGGGTTTCTGATGAACTCACTTCTTGAGTTCATGGACTTAGTCGCTTTTCTCGGGGTTTGGACCATTTTCCGTGGTAAGCAACAGGTTTGCTCACCTGAGCCACTTGCTCACAACCAGGGTAGATGAAGGTTAGTCAGGGACAATCCCAATACAAAGCTGCCGCCTTCAGAATTCTTCACACGCTTCTGGGATCACGACCATTTTACTACCGGGTTTTGACTATGACTCACTTTTTTTGTTCGGAAGACCCGCTCCACTGGCTCCAGATTCGTGAGAGCTGTGCGTCCGGATGCGCGTCCGACGCGCGTCGGATGCGCCGCGCGAGGTGTCCCTGGGGAGTTTGTACCCCGTGGAGGGCGGCGAACCGGTGCGCCGGTTCAAGGTCCACCTGGCGGAGCTGCTGCAGAAGTTCCTCCCCGACCCCAGGCGCGACGAACGACGAGTCGGATCGGAGCGAGCGCATCGACCGACCTTCTCCGGACAACGGGGGGAAGACGCGAAAGGACCGACCTTGTGCGGAGCAAAAAGGGGGAAAGCCGGAAGAGTTGGGGCAAACGGGCGGAGACAGCAACCGGCCGAGCAGGGCTCCTTAAAAGATCTCCATTTTGCAACCATTTGAAACATGTTGCTTTTTCAGCACCAAAATAAAGAAAAACCACCATTTACAAGTTGCAATGTTCAGGTCGAGCTTTTGACTAGGAATCGGATACCGAATCGACCCCTTAAGGAGAACAAACGGCCGGAAGACGGGGGCCGGCGGGCGGAACAAGCAACGGCTGAAAGATGCCGAAAGGCGGGCAAATTGAGATTTTCTTGCGGCTCAATGACCCCAGGATTCCCAGTTGGATAGTTTTTTGGGGTCACGACCCAAAATTTAAAATGGCTCAAAGGCGTAGGTTTGCTTCGATAGGCGGGGAATGAGAAAGGGAATGACTCCGAGAAAAACGTTCATTTCCGATTTGCTTTCCTTTAAGGGAATCCCAAAACGGTTAACACCCGGAAGGTCATTCCCTACTGAGCACCAGCAAGGAAAGCAACAGCCGAAAGGCGGCCTTTTGATTTTTGTCTTTACAGGTTGTACAGTTGCTTCTCTTTCTCTGAGGAAAAAAAAGGGGGAGTTCCTGTTGCTTAAAATTATGTTGGCTCCAGCTTCGGGATTCTCACTGGGGCTGACAGGACCCGGTCTGGTCCGTCCGGGCCAGAAATTCTGACACCAAACCTGTCGGGTACAGCAAACGAGCCTTCAGGTCCAGCCCCAATTCATCAGGACTCTCCAAATCATGCTTAGTGTGAATTGTCAAGTCTGAATCGAGATGGCCCTGAAGTATCTTTTTAGAATTATTCCTCCAGAACGGTAGAATTTTGCTTGGTACCCGGCAAGGAAGGACCTTAGTTAGTTTATTCCTTGGACTAGTTTGTTCCTTGGACTAGTTTATCACAACGGGAGTATAGTGTACTAAGGGGAAGGGGCTACTCGCTTTCCCCAGTACTCAGCTGATGCTGTGCCGGTCCCTGCTTGGCCTTTGCAACCTCGTTGGGAAAACGTTTGTTTAGTGGTTGCCGGCCACTAACAACAGATCCAGAGCACTGCAGCGCTGGCCAATTCCTGTGTCGGCTTTTGGCCGTCAAGGCATGTAACATCAATGTGGGAAGGCGTGTTGTGGGCATATGGTGTATGATATGAATGTAAGTATAGAGGTGTGACCTACTGTGCATGTGGACCTGTTTTCACCGAGGCCTCCCAGGAGTATCAACTCGTTCGCTAGTTCGGAATTGACAGGGAAATCTCTGGCCGCAGCAACATGGGCAAATGAATATGTCTCGAAGAGGGTGACGAAGTGCTTTGGCATTGGTAGGCCCATATGTCTTCTGAACATGGATTGAGGTTTCTCCCACTGCATGTCGGCAACTCCGCATGCGTGAGTTCGGCAAAAACGAGCTTATTGCAGGACTCAACTGTACCGCCCTGCAGAGGTTTGTGGCCTTCGACCACATCACAGACGAGGTGACGGCAGACATTATGGGAGGCACAAAGCTCTTCAAGAGGACGGGTGAGGCGAATGCTGATTGGCACATGGCTCGTTTGTTCCAATTGGTTGGAAGAATGACCAGTTCTGCCCCCCAAAAAAGGGAAACGTGTGCTGTTGCAGGCGTGGTCTTTGGCGCAAGCGCCGGAGCTTATGATCCATCGAGACCCTTTTTTTCTTCGGGAAATCGAGTCACAAGACATATGCAAAGCGCAAGATCCCCTACCACTTGTTCTGGAGGGGTGTCTCTTCTAAGTTTGGTGGCACCTCTATTGCATGTTTAAAAGAAAGCCACTCCGGAACCTTTTCAAGGGATCGTTTTTTTTTTTTTTTTTTTCTGAATTGCCCCTTCCATGTTCATTCCCCCAAAGTCGAGCCATCGCCTCAGATGCAACACGCCTGATTCGAACAGCTCAAGGAACAAACCATATGGGCGTGGGTGAGTGTGGGTGCGCTTGTTGTGACATTGAATCAGCTCCCTCCAATTGGTGGATTAGTGGTTTGGAGGTTAGGGGGTCGTTTCCTCTTTACTCCCTACAACCACGGGTTCCAATCCCCAAAACACCGATCCAAACCGCAAATTGAAAGGATAAGCTGCAGCTCTATGTGTCTCACAGAAGGCACTCTGGCAAGGCTGTCCAATTGCACTCCAGAAAGGATGTGTCCTCTTTGTGTTTGATAACCAGTCGAAGACATTTTGCTTCTTGTTCCTCCAACCAAAGCCAAGCAAATATAGATTGTCCTCTTCTCAGATTTGTGTCCAACCAAAACCACCTCGCATTTTTCGCGTTTCTGTGGAGTTGTGTCCAACCAACACCCACCTCGCATTTGTCCGCCTTTTTTTCCCTGTCTAGCCAAACCCACCTCGCTTTGTTGGCGTCTCTTCGGATTTGTTTCCAATCAAGCCCGCCTCGCATGTTCGCTGTTATTTTCCCGTCTAGCCCCCACGCCGCATTTTTCGGTCGCGTCATGTCGCGACTTTTTTTGTTTTCGGTGTGCCAGGATGTCCAAAGGCCAAAACCCGGTGCTGTCCTTGGGGGGCCCTCGCAGTGGGATTCCCTGGCACACCCACGGCGAGAGCCCGGGCCTCGGAACGTTGGGACTGGGGAACGTGGAGGCCAGAGGTCCATCTGGTCCAAGTTGTGACTCACTTCCTGAGTTCATGGACTTTATAGGATTCTTGGGGGAAGACCATTTTAGTGGTAAACACAAAAAGGGTGGGTACTTTTTCTGACCGAATCTATTCAGGAATCGGAAACATCTTTACCCCAGGCCGTACGCAAGGAGTTGGTCCCCTTGGCAGTGGCTTCCCTATAAACATGATGGAAAATCGGATTGGTCACCCCAACCCATGTTGAACTTCGATATTTATTTTAGGTGTGTCCCTTTTTCGACGCCTGAGATGGCCTTGCAGGGCATGATTCCTATTGACGTGGAAGATGGCGGGTGTCTATGTTTTTCAGTCCCCCTTTGCACCAGAAAGTTCGGACCCTCCAGTGGAGAGGCCTAGTACTTCTCCATCGGCTTTCTTTTGATGGCCGTTTCGAGGTCCCAAGTACCCTTTTCGGGGTTGGTTGAAAAGGAAACCAGAAGAAAGCCATCGATGTTGGGAGTCCTATTGAAGTTTGAACATCCCCTTTACACAGGGATTTGTGCCATCTCTTTCACGTCTAGATGATCCACAGGTCTCAGTGTGATCATTTCCGCCGCTTCTTCCCAGCGGACACCTAGGGGCACTGGTTTTGAGGTTAGCCCCTTAGCCCAGTCCGTACGAAACAAATGGCCTTTGGCACGGTCGAGGCCGCCCAGGCTTACCAGGGCTTTTCTCCTGGCTTGTTGTTTGTGTTCACTTATGTTCACGCGTGTGTTCACTTGTGTGTGTGTGTGTGTGGGCTGTGTGTCTGTGTCTGTGTGCTTGTGTGTGTGTGTGTCTGTGTGCATCTGTGTCTGGGTGTCTGTGTGTGTGTGTGTCTCTGTGTGTGTGTGTCTCTGTGTGTGTGCGCGCGTGTCTCTGTGTGTGTGGGTGTGTGTGTGTGTCTCTGTCTGCATGTGTTTTGTTGTGTGCTTTTTGCGTGCTTGTGTGTGTGTGCGCGTGCGTGGGTGCGTGCGTGCGTGTGCGTGCGCGTTTCCACGTTTGCTCTGATCAGACAAATCTAAGTTCGGAAAAGGAGGGCGGCCTTGCTCATGGTGTTTTTTCTGCTACGGATGGCGTATTTCAGAAGGCAACGCATTCTAACTTAGCCAGACTTTTTGCACAACTCCCAGGATTGAGTGGATCTTAAGTTGGTGCCACAGAATCAAGATCGGGGGATGTCTCTATTATAGGGAACCTCTCAACGTTAACATGTTACATTTACATTTACTTTCACTTGCAGCATCCACACAAAGAGTTCATCCAACGAAAGCACCCATTTAAAGCAAATGACCACTCCCACTTGTATTGGGGCAAGCGTTGTGGGGACAGCATGGTTGATTTTGTAAGGACATAAGTGCGACCTCCTTTAGAGTGAAGAGCTATCAGCATGGATTTGTTTTCTGAGAGCTCCCGTTGATTGGTACCACCCTGGGAAAGTTCAGCCCAGTCGGCGTCTGACAGTTGTCCTTTCGTCCGCGCATGCGACCTTATCCTGGAGTCATGAGTTTCACAGTTTCTGGGCACTCGTCAAAGCCAGAAGCCCTTTAAGCTACCACTTTGGGGGGTGACGTTGATAGCGGTGAACCAGTGGGGCCAGCTATCCTCACTTGCCGAAAGCCAAGCTTTTGGACCTTTGGGTTTCCCCTTGTCCATTTGTCACGACGGCCTCAAACAGTTAGCCTTAGCTTTTTCCAGGCCCAGAAGGGCAGCTGAGTATCACTTACCCTTCTCTCCATGTTTGTCATGACAGGTTTGGATTTCCCCTTCTCCCCCACTTGATGTTTGTGGAGGTCTACATCCATTGAGGGTGTTCCGTCCCCATTTCGGCACCTTCCATTGATACCAAAGGGGGCCTCACTTCCTTGAGGCTTCTCTGCTTTGGGAGAAAGAAACAAATCCAGAGTCACAATCAACGCCCGGCGATTGAAGGTTAGAAAGGAACACTCCCAGCCATAAATAGTTGCGGCCGCCTTCTTAGTTCTGTACATGGTTCTGGGTCTACCATTTTAATACCAGGTTTTGATTGTCACTCACCTGTCACTTTCGTGTCAGGTTCGCTGATGTGCTTCGTGGGGCGGAAGCGCTGGTTCGTGTACCCGCCGGCCTCTGCCGATGCTGCATTCCGCGGGCATCCCTTTCTAGGAGGGGTACAGCCAGAGTTTGACCTCCATGACTGCAGGGTGTCTCTTTAAGGTTGGACACCCCAAAATGCGGGAGGGGTTCCTTTCAGGAACCCATGTAAAACCAGCAAAAAAGGGGAACCATTGAAGATCCTATGTACTTGGCCAATGACTGTCAAATGTTGTATGTTGTTTGCCAATGGGCTTCATGTATGATCTGGTTGAGAACGTCAGGTCACAAGCATGACCTCAGAAAACAACACAAGCCAGCGCTGCCCGGCCCCGAGCACACCAAACTAGGGAGCCCTTTGAACACGTCGAAAGGCCAACCAAAAGGGCGGCGATCAAATGGTGAATGGTTGACATCATTCATTCCGGGAATCACTTTTCAGGTTCCAACTCTTAACATTTATAGTCAGTTGGTGAATTGGCTCCAACTTTTAAAAGAGCCAGCTCTTTTGAGGTTTCAACTCCAACTCTTTTATATGAATTGTTTATAGCCCAATGCTCAGTTGGGTGATTTGTTGTGGCTGTTTCGGGGCCGAAGCTCTGGCTCACCAAAGCGGGAGGCTCGCTGAACTGGACGCGCCAGAAGTTGCCCTCGCTGAAACCGTGGCAGCGGCCGCTGACCTTCCTACAGCAGCCCGGGGACTTTGTGCCCCGCGGCCCGAGTGTGGCTTTCCTAGGCACAGCTAGGTGCCCTTTCTCACCGTTTCTTTGTTTTTTTTGGGGGGGGTTCCCCTCCCAAAATAGACAAAACCGAAAAGAAGCCAAAGAGCCAAGTTGGCCGCCCTTTTGCAAAGAAAAGGCCCTTTGGAAGGTTTGGGCAGATCTGAACTATGCTTCTTGGGTCGGTGAAGGGATCCCTTTCCGTTCTTGGTGTATGTTCTTCTAAGTTAACATACATCTACTGCATGGTTTGGTTGAAGCCACGGTGTTCCTGTGGGGCTAAGAGCTACGTGGCGACCCGGGCGGGTGGGCAGGCTTACCAAGCCCCAGACCTGGGGCGGTTCATGTGCCCCGGTGGCAGGTTGCTGCCAAGTGGACATGTCAATCACCCGGCTTGGGATCATGCCTTGGAGTAAAGGTGGTTTGGTCTCTCTTGGCACCTGGGATCAGCATGTTTGCTTTTGAGAGCCTGGATCATTTCTCGAGGAGTTCGATTTGGGGATTTCCGAAATCGCAGGGAGGCATATGAAACGCGCTGACGGCCCTCGAGTTAGTCCCTGACGGCCTCGGCATTGAGATATCCGGCCCAGGGTGCCGGTTGTGTGGTTGGTTTGCAGGGTTTACCCCAAATGTTTTCCAAGCAATCGTTTGTTAAAAAGGGGGAGGCTCCCTATTTTGACACATACCAGATGCAACTCTGCAACTGCGAGTCGACCAGCTCGTCAGGACTGGTGGAGAGGTTGTTTGGATATTTCGAGCAGCCATTTTCCAAAGTTCATTTGAGGGGCCCTACGGGCTGGCCCGCAAAAATGTGGCACACATCTACCCTACGCCTGGCAGGTTCTGCGTTTGTCTTTGGATGCGTTATACCCACCTAAAGGATCACGCGATTCAGGATTGCTTTGTTCTGCACCCTCGCATGGCTTCAACAGCAGCGACCTATGGAGGGGTTGAGTTTTAGGGATATGTCAGTGGGTGTTTCTTGCGGTTTCAATTGCGACCATAGGGGTCCAAATTTAGGCATCATCCATCAGGCTGTTTCCAGTCTTCAACGTCGGATAGCTCAATGTTCACAACTGATGGCAATCTCACCGCACCAGCAGGGATACAAAGTTAATTAGGAAGCCTCCCTTTCTGGGGCGAGGGGCTTCTGATTTTGGTGCGGGGATCTGTTGAATTTCCCGGACATCGTTTGGAAAGCACGCGGCCTCTCCAAGAGCAGGTGCCCTGGGCAAGTGGTTGGTTCCCAGATTCGCTGGGGTAGACCTAGCATACATTTACATGTTTCCCGTGACGCAAAGTGAAGCAAACAGTAAAATATGCATTCGAACTGGGCCTAACTCTAATCATGTTCGGAGTGTCGGTTTCCGAGTCAGAGGTTCGGTTTCCATCTACAGCTCGCGGCTCGGCGCGGCCCGAGGTATTTGCCGCCCGGCTGGCCCCACTTGACGTTGAACCTGGACGACACGCTCGCAGTAGGCGCGCTGCACTTGCAACCTTCACTGCTTCTGCTGCTGTCAAATGGTCTCGCAATGGGTAATTACCAGATGGGCAAGGATGTAACGTAGCGATGCTGCCAAGAGGAACTTTGCATATTGCATGGGCGACATGCCGCTGCAGCATGACGTAGTCCGGGAAGATTCTGGATATTGAACTGCAATAGTTCGGGTCGGTTGACGGCTCAAAATGTGGCATTTGCCGAGATTCGCACATTCAACTGGGCGTTAGTGGCACTGGCTGCGGCCACAATCTGGCTGCCTCGCTGTTTTCCACTGTCAAGTTGTGTCGCTTGTTTTTCTCTTTGGCCTTCAAATGGCCTGGCTGATTTGATGACTTTTTGAATATTACCAACTCCCCTCCCCCCAACATCGGCTTTTTCTTTGCGGCTCCGACCGAAGCCCTTTCACGTTCGGAGCCCGGTGTAAGGGCACAGACTTGTCTGCGCTTCGGCCGGACAGAGCCGGAAACTAGGTCCCCCAGCTAGGTGCCCTTCTCTCCCCTTTTGTGGGGGAGGGTTGCCCTACTAAAATAAACTACAGAAAAAAGAGTACCCTTGTTCCAACCTCGCTACTGGAGGACCTAGGAAAGCATACAGGTGGGGCTTTTGTTTGATTGCTCAACCAGTGTTGGTTTTTGGTCATTCAGGGATCACTGAAGTTCCCCTTCAAATAGTGGTGGTGTCTATTGAAACTGCCACGTTTGGAGGTTCCAAAAAGGGAAATGGAGGAAACCCTGTCATTGGTGGGAGAAGATTTCCTCACGCAATGTTGCCTAGCACGGCTTCAGGCCCATATCATTTGCCCAAAGCAAATCGAACTTTTAACCTTGTTGGTTTTGCTATGTTGGTCCAAATTTAGTCAAGGTGCCAAACTTGGTGGTTGCCTTAGCGTTTCTTCTCTTCGCTGAGGATAGAGGGATGAGAGCTAGGATATGATGATAAACGATGTTTAGTTACAGCATATCCTTTCTATTTCTCCTTCATCCTCATCTGGTCCCATTCTTATCTTTAACAGATGTTAGGAAGGAAGAGATGAAGAGAAGGTAAAGGTGATGGGATTCCTCAAGTCATTTCCCATCTAATAGACCCTCATCCTCCACCTATGTTTATTTAGTGTTTAGTGGGCATTTAACCCACAAAATCTTAAACTTTTCGTGGATCTGAAAACGGACAGCCCAGGGAAGGTCAGCAACTGTCACTTCTTCCCTAAGGGGCTCTCTGCCCATAGGCTGGCAGGACTTCCTGGACAACTCCATGCTGGACAGTCTGCTGAAGGGCTGTGAGGACCCTCCCACAGACCCAGACAGCTGCACCGCGGAAGCAAGTTGCTGCCAATGCCGGGGTGTAAACATGCATGATATAAATGCAAATATATACAGAATAAATATACACAACATATATTGATGTACACATGCATATATACATACATGCGTAGACATATATGTATATGTGTGAACCCACCATTTGGAGAGGCATCCTTTTGTAATCATGAGCACACAGCCCGCTTGAAGGCCCAGGGCTTGAGCAATGAGCCAATGCGCAGCACGAGCGATGTCTCAGTGGTGAGCCAGAACGGCTCCATTTGCTGAAGAATACGTGTTAATTCTCCCTTGTTGGTTTTGTAACAGGATTTCATCACTAATGGAAATATTGGTTATTTTTTCCTGGAGCCTAAACCAAATGGAAGAGAAAGAAGACGAATGGATTAGTTCTGGTTCTGAAAGCTTGCCATGCCTACACGGTGCCACAACAGCTTGCCAGAATGGCGGCTCCGGCACGACATACCTGGACTGCTTGTTTCCCTAGCATGACAGTGATCCATGAACGTTGCGATGGTGGAGCAGCATCAACGTAAAGCCAACAAGTTTGCATTTTCTGGTGGCAAAGCCACGCTTACTTCCATCGATGTCGTGGCCGTGCGGAAGCATCCTTCTAAGGGTGGAAGTACATACCCCTTGTTCATACCCCTTGGCTTCCGTGGTTTGCAACCCACTTTAAAAGGGGTATATACCCCTTTTGGGGAGAGTATGAACATCAGGCCTTTGGGGTTCATTTGTCCAAGGGTTATGTAAAAGGGGTATGTACCTTGGCACCCCTGGAACCAGCCGCAAGGGGGCCCACCATTTTGAGAAGCTGGCATTTTGCCACATGTCTTCAATGGGGACACAGTCGACACGCTCCCGCTGTGTGGAAGACTCTTCGGCTCGGCTCAGTTTTAGGCACGCTGCTGGCGCAGCGCTGTCGAGAGGGGATTTGCGCCTTCGGCGCCTCGGCCAGAGAAACCAAAGTCGCTCAGTTGGGACTGCAAACCAACCAACCAACCAAGCAAGCAAGCAACCAACCAACCAACCAAGCAAGCAAGCAAGCAACCAACCAACCAAGCAAGCAAGCAAGCAAGCAACCAAGCAAGCAACCAAGCAAGCAAGCAACCAAGCAAGCAAGCAAGCAACCAAGCATCCAAGCAAGCAAGCAAGCAAGCAACCAAGCAAGCAACCAAGCAAGCAAGCAACCAAGCAAGCAAGCAAGCAACCAAGCAAGCAACCAAGCAAGCAAGCAACCAAGCAAGCAAGCAACCAAGCAAGCAACCAAGCAAGCAACCAACCAAGCAAGCAAGCAAGCAAGCAAGCAACCAAGCAAGCAAGCAACCAAGCAAGCAAGCAAGCAAGCAACCAAGCAAGCAACCAAGCAAGCAAGCAACAAGCAAGCAAGCAACAAGCAAGCAACCAAGCAAGCAACCAAGCAAGCAACCAAGCAAGCAACCAACCAAGCAAGCAAGCAAGCAAGCAAGCAACCAAGCAAGCAAGCAACCAAGCAAGCAAGCAAGCAACCAAGCAAGCAACCAAGCAAGCAAGCAACCAAGCAAGCAAGCAACAAGCAAGCAAGCAACCAAGCAAGCAACCAACCAACCAAGCAAGCCAAGCAAGCAAGCAAGCAAGCAAGCAACCAAGCAAGCAACCAAGCAAGCAACCAAGCAAGCAAGCAACCAAGCAAGCAAGCAAGCAAAACCAACCAAGCAAGCAAGCAAGCAAGCAAGCAACCAAGCAAGCAAGCAAGCAAGCCAAGCAAGCAAGCAAGCAAGCAACCAAGCAAGCAACCAAGCAAGCAAGCAACCAAGCAAGCAAGCAACCAAGCAAGCAAGCAACCAAGCAAGCAACCAACAAGCAAGCAAGCAAGCAAGCAAGCAAGCAACCAAGCAAGCAAGCAACCAAGCAAGCAACCAAGCAAGCAAGCAACCAAGCAAGCAAGCAAGCAAGCAACCAAGCAAGCAAGCAACCAAGCAAGCAAGCAAGCAACCAAGCAAGCAAGCAAGCAACCAACCAAGCAAGCAAGCAAGCAAGCAACCAAGCAAGCAAGCAAGCAACCAACCAAGCAAGCAAGCAAGCAAGCAAGCAAGCAACCACGCAAGCAAGCAAGCAACCAAGCAAGCAACCACGCAAGCAAGCAAGCAACCAAGCAAGCAAGCAAGCAAGCAAGCAACAAAGCAACCAAGCAACCAAGCAAGCAACCAAGCAAGCAAGCAACCAAGCAAGCAAGCAACCAAGCAAGCAAGCAACCAAGCAAGCAAGCAACCAAGCAAGCAAGCAAGCAACCAAGCAAGCAAGCAAGCAACCAAGCAACCAACCCAGTTGAGTCACAACAAAACCCGGGCAGATGAAGGTTAGCGATCCCAACCATAAATAGCTGCGGATATCCGCCCTCTAAATTCTTTACATGGTTCTGGGTCGACCATTTTAATGCCGGGTTTAGATTGTGACTCAGTTGGGCTGTTTGATTGAACCTATATATGTTTTTGGAACAATTGTAGCTAGGGAAGTTTTGAACCTATGCGTTTTTGGGGCAATTGGAGATTCAATTTTAGCTTGGGGGGGTTGAGAACAACGGCACGGCAACTCGTTTGGTCCATGTTCTTGGGCTCTAGCTCTTGTTTGGAACAGGATGGCAAAGCTCAACTGATCAGATAGGGGTAGACCAATGTATCCCTTAAAGACTCCGGTTTTGGCCATTGGCAACTTGTTTTTCTCATGTGGACATGTCCTTTTTGTTAGTGGCTTTCCTCAATGGTCGTTGATCAACCGCCATATATATTCTACAGGAAATTGTTTGTTTTGTCGTGTCGGACCTCGAAGAGGTTCTGGGGGTTCCTCTAAATTTGTCGCTTGGGCATCCCCTGTTGTTCGGCTCCATGTATGGCAAAACCCAATTTCCCTTTGGGGCGAATACTCGACAAATAAACTAGGTCCCCCAGTAGTGCCCTTCTCTCCCCTTTGTTGGGGGAGGGTTCTCCTAGAATAGACTACCAAAAAACAAGTTGGTAGCAACTTATTCGAACCTCTCAAGTCTGCAGGACCTAGTCAAATTGCGGACCCCCCCACCCCCCACCCCCTGACAACCAGAATTGCGGACCCCCCCCCACCCCCAGAAACCAGACAACTGGAATTGGGGACCGCGTCTCCACCCCACGCCCCAACCCCCGCCCCCCTTGCCTTTCCCCACGTCGCGGCCTTCCCGAGACGTCCCGAGGCCGGGACCCCCTGGCGCTCTACGCCTCCGCGCTGCAGGCGGAGCCGCTGCACCTCGCGGCCGCCGGCCACTCCGCGGAGCTGGACATCGACAGGCGCGAGCCGGCAGCGCCGGCGGTCATCGTTTTCGTCCCACGGAAAACCGGCGCGGAAAACCGGCACGCGTAGGTGGGTCCGAACGGATGATTTGTCTGAAGCCCCATGCCCCGCTTGACTTATCAGGGTTTATGGCGCTCATTTGGGGGCCGAAGAGAACATTGATGCACCCGCATATGAGTATGGGTCAAAATTCCACCAGGGGACCGCAGGTTTCAGTCTATGTTTACCAGGGCAACCCATTTTGGGGTTACCCTATTGTTGACCCACACCCAGGTGTCCTTGGTAGTCTGCGCTTTCATACTAATACAGGGCAGCTGCTTTTTGAAGGCTGCCTTGACTTTGGAAGCATGGTAGTTACGGTTTTGTAGAGCATGGGAAAGCATCGGTAAGCTGCCAACGGGCGTGGCTCGTTTAAAGGAGGTCCGTAAAACCTGTGAGATGTCGATGTTTTTGGCGGTTCCCTCAGGCGGTTCACATCCGGCGGCATGAACGTATTTTTGTGTTTGAGGACCGCACCCCAGCGGGTGTTCGCAAGTTTCAGCTGGGACCCACAAACCGGAGATCTTTGTCTTTTCGCCATTTTGGGAATTCGATTTCTCGGACTTCAGTCACTTTTGGGGCTTCCATTTTACAAGAAGTTTGGACCTATTTTGGGCCGTCTACTCAAGAAGTGAGTCAAAAAGGCCCTTGACCAAACCCGTGGAGGCCCCTTCCCCCCATCAATGGAGGGTGCTTCCCTTCTTCCATGGAAGTTTGTTTCTCACTTTCTGAGTTCTTGGACTTGAGTCACTCTTTCGGCTTGGACCACTTTTGGCACAAGCACAAAAGTGGACCTGTTTTCGGCAATCCACTCAGGAAGTGAGATTATCCTGACTACTTTGTAGTTGTTGTTGGTTGTTGTTGGGTTCTCTTCATTTTTAGTTTAAGCCCCCCTCCATGGCCCTTCCCTTGGAGGGTGCTTCCCCCTGCAATGAACTTTCGCTAGGCTCGAGGACACCGCTGATGTGTTGCTGCAGTCTGAGGAGGCGCTGCTGAAGAACCCCTACATCGCGCCTTGGAGTGGTGGTTCCTTGTTGAGCTCAGGTGCCCTTTTTGAGGAATGGGAAACATAAAGAACAACGGGAGATTGGGAAATGGTGTCCTTCTTGAGGAGGCTCTTGTGAGTTTGGCGGGTTTTTGGGCTTTATATGGGAAACATAAAGAAACACCAACCAGAATAGGGCTTCCCGAATTTTAAGACACCCACGCGCTTCTCTTTTTGGGATTGTCAGTTGTTTCACGGGAAACAGAGCATTTGTGGCAGTGTGTCCATGTTTTTGTCGGAGTTCTTTCTTTTTTTGTGGGGGGGGCCGGGGGGGGGAAGTGGGTGGAGGGGTGTGTTTTTGTTGTTTTTAGCTGGAGCCAGAACGGAACCAAACATATAGGGGTTCCGGAAATGCAAGACCCACCCGTTTAGATGCCGAGTGGCACTTTTTTTCCATGTGTGTGCCACTGGCATCCGGAATCGACCAGAGAACTCGGCTTGGTCTGTGGCTTTCACAGATGGTCATGTTGAAAATATGATGTCAGCATATGGGTGTGTCTCAAAAGGGGCCACCAAAATTGGTGAGTTTCCAGCTGGTCGCTTTTAGACAACTTTTGAGACAGACCCATATTGAGCGATGAGCAACTCAGTTGTTCAGTGGCACCCTTTTTCCCCTTTTTTTGGTGGCTGCCCCACTAAAAATTGTCTTCCCCAAGAAGAGTTCCCTTTTTTGAACAACTGAGGCAATGAGCCATGTTTGTGGGATCAGACTGCGGAGTCCTTGCATGGCTCCGCCTTGCGCGATTTGTTTCACTAGCCAATGTTCTAGGACCTTCCATTTTGGAAAGTCCAATTTTTCCGGAGTTCCTTCTTGAAAACCAAGAGGAAAATTCAATTTTGGAGGAGTCCCCTAAAAAGAGACCCTCCAAGCCTCAAGAAACCCAGTGAAAACGACCGGTCTTCGAAAAGAACGATGGTTGAAAATAATGGAAAAGGAATCACCCCCTAGAAATGTTACAAACTTGAGCATGGTTGCCAACTGTGATCCGTTGTGTTTTTGGAGACCCCGAGTTAATGCCCAAATACTGCTTTTGCTTACGTAGTTGGATGCGATATGTCGTCGGCAGCATGCAAGTCCTGATTAATCCATTTGTTTCAGTCCTTTGACATTGATAATTCATCAATAGACGTGGTTAGTCGTACGTTTGACAACGCTTATTCTTGCTGCGAACTCAAATTTGAGGACGTTACTGTACATTGTAATTTGCCTCCAGTACATGAACCTGAGTCAAAACAGGTACACTGGTCAGATTACCGATATGTTGCTTCCTACAGTTTGCTTCTTTTGTTGTTACGCAACAGAGTTTCAATTGTTGCGTTGTTGCTTGCGGTATTCGTGTTTGAGGTGACCTGTATTCCCGGAAACACTTGTTGCCGGCCTGATTCCGTCATCTTTGGCCCGACGCCAACTGGTAAAATCCAAAGCTGCAGTTCTTCCGCCACCTTTTGCCCGCCAAAGGGCCAAAATCCAAAGTCATGGTATGTTCAGGAGACACGGGTTCCCCCTGCGATTTGCCAATTCTTGGCCCGACACCAATTGGTAAAATCCAAAGTCATGAGACACGAATCCCCCCTGCGATTTGCCAAATCCAATTTGAGTATGGCTCAAAATTAAAGAGCTGGGCTTATGCGGGTTTTAGGGTGCCATTTTGGGTTTCCACTTGTTGAGCCACAGCCATTTCTGCAGGAAATCCCCCCTGGGCCATGTCTGCCGCCACCTTTTGCCTGCCTATCGGACAAAATCCAAAGTCATCGGATGTTCAGGAGACAGGAATCCCTGTGATTTGCGTGCGAATCCAACTTCCGCAGTTAGGACAACCTCACCTTGGCCTATGGCTGGATCTACCTGGCGCAAACCACCTACAACCTGGGAGGCGATAAGGACCTGGCGGACGCCTATCTCAGCCGCGTAGGCGCGGGGCGGCTGGGGCCGTTTGGGGCCCTGTTTGGGGCCCTAAAATGGGATTGTTGTTTTTGTGAGTCGGTATCCATGGTTGGTGTGGTTTGAAAGGGAAACAAAGAACAACACCGCCATTTTGTGGGAGTCCAACCCAGAAAACGACACACCCAATTTGTGGGATATACTTTTTAATTTATGTATTTTATCGGGAATTTGCAACGCGAGACGAGGGTTTGGGAGCCAAAGGCAGGAGGGACAATGCCTTGAGGTGTTGCTTGTCCATTTTCCTAAAGTGGCAGATTCAACTTTTGAATTGGACATCCAGCGCTGGCCCCATTGGAAATCCAGTGATGGCCCCAATGGAAATCCAGTGATGGCCCCAAGCCCAAAAACAACTGATGGAATCAGCTGAAGCATTTGGCTGGGCTGCTGGGAGCAGGAAGCGTCAAGAAACTGGTGGTTCAACGGACGTGCTTTTCCTGGGTGTCCCGTTTTCAATTTGTGCATCAAAATGCTTCCGCTGGACTTCACACCCGCGCTGTTTGTTTTGGTTCACCCACATGGATGTGGCTTTTGTGGACCCCCCGTATTAAAAGAGTGGTAAAGCATTACTAAAAAAGGACCAGGAAGAAGATCGGTGAAATCCACCAAACGCGCAAATCCAAACCGTTGTTGCTGAAGTATATGTTTTACTTTTCCTTGTTGGTTTTAAAAGGACTTCATCACTACTGGACTTGGTTAAAAAATAAAGGCCTTAACCAAACGGACGTTTTCTAGCAGAGGACTGACATTTTGGAGAAGCGAGTTCCGGCCGTTACCCCGGCTGCGTCTAACCCCCGGCAGGCCGCCTGGTGCAGGGGGACCACCTGGGCTTTGAAGCCCTCGCCCTCTACGACGCTCGGTTTAATGCGGCGCTTTTTGCGTCGCCCTGGGTCCGAGCGCAAAGCGCGGTTTTTGGGGAGCAAAGGGGAGGATGTCCCGGATGTTTGGTCTCATTTTTAGGGAGATTCCGGATGAATTCTCGTGGAGTCGCTGATGGTTGCGAAGGGGGTTGTGCCCTGTGATACCATGGAAGTCTCCTCTTTGTCTTGGTTGGTCTTTGGGAGTCCCTTTTTGTTGCATCACAGAAGCGGTCAGTTCCCACAATTTGGGTTGAGCATGTTGATTGCTTGGTTTTCGCAGAGGAAGCTTACAAGCAGGGAGATGCCCAACCTGCGGGCTGGAAATGATCTTGTGTTCCCCATAGCCCAGGGACACGGGACGTTGCTCTCCGCGTTACACGGGGCGTTTGGAGCTTGTGCAAACCCAACCGTTGGATTCTACTTGGGGCTTCAACATGGACCCCGAGATATAGGTCTCCGTGGTCTTCCTTTGGGTCTTGTTCTGTCTCCCTTCACACCGCCCCCAGAAAGGCTGCCAAGGAACGACCACCAAAGATTTCCGAGAGCTCTGCCAGAGCTCGGGCGGGGGAAGCTGTCCGAGGGTGAAGGTCCCAATGTCACGGCTCATTGGCTAACGAGGCTCAGCTGATACGAATCTGATACGTACAAACGGACTTTCTTGTTTTTTGCACAGCTGTCCTGGATGGTACACAACACATTCCGACACAGTCTGCAGTAGCCTGGTGCAATATTCTCACCAACTTCATAAAGAGGTTCTTGTGTAGCCGGACATGCTGGAAGTTCCGCGAAGCTCTGAACCGAGCACATTAATGGTTGAGGAAAGCCTAGACGAGGGGCGTCCTTCGCGCTTTTTGGGTAGTTCCAATCTACCAATTCTCATTGACCGATTGCACGCTCGCCCTATGTCGAGTTCGTTTCGTTCTATGACAGTGTGTTCGCTCCTGCTGTGGCTGGTTCCTACTGTCCCCTCTTTTGATTGACCCTTTGGTGGCTCTGGTTGTTCCGCATTTGGGCCTATGGGGTGCACCAGCACGAGCAAATCAAGTCAACGAGCACATCGACATGGTCACGCTTATTTTTGGTTGAGGGGTTAGATTCAGTTACGTTGCAACTTGAAGTCATGAGCCTCAGGTTAGAACGAGTATTGAAGGTCTCGGAATTCCCTGTTTGTTGCTTCAATGCCTACACACACAGACAGGCTGACATGGTTGTTTGGTTTCAGGGAGAGTCTTGCACACACCAATAGGGGTGTTTTTGTGTTTGCGTGTTTGTGTGTGCTTTGTTTCAAGCAATGCCCTTTTGCCTTCTTAGTCACTGGTATGTTGATGAATTTAACTTGGAACTTGCTGGACCAAGCATCTGAACAGTGGAACTACTGGTATGTCGATGAATTTACCTTGAGACTGGCCGGACAAAATATCTGAACAGTGGAGCTGGGCTTGATTGGCCTCGGTCGCCCGTTTTTTTGGAATTGGTGTTTCATGAGCTGAGGACAAATCTGGCGGCGTCAAGCCCTTCGACTACGGCATAGGGATACGGAAGGAAGAGCTGGAGCAGAGGCAAGCAAAGAAATCAGCGGGCGAAAGCAAGGACAAAGAGGAAGAGGAGGAGGAAGAGGAAGAGGAAGAGGAGAAGGAAGAGAAGAGGAAGAAGAAGCAGAGAATGAATAGAAAA